CGAAATATATGTTATCCATCATGTCATATAATTCTGAGAACCTTCGTCATCTTATCGTACTATCCAAATTTAACAGAGAGACTAATTATTACAAATAAAATAAACTACTGATTCACACAATTATTTGCCTGTTTTGTCCGCAATGGCTTCAGGAAAACTGTCATCAGCATCATTTAGAAGTAGTCAAGATATGTGAATGAAAACTATCATTATAATATATTGATATAGAATTTTATTTTATGTTAGGCCTTCAGTTGTTTATTGTTAATGTCACTTGTTTACACTAATGTTACGTTCGCTCTCTTGAGCTTAAAAGACAAAATGAAGTTTATTCTAACCGTGAATATTCATCCATATTCAGTGTTACTGACTATGTAAAAATCTTTAGATAATGTAACATTAATATCAGAAGGGGTTTTTGTGGATATTATAGTAATTTTAATAGTTGAGGTCATGAGTCAGTTGAAGCTAGACCACCATGGAAAACCTGGAAGCACTGGATGGCTGTTTCGTCCTACTGTGGGAATCCTGAGCAGTGCGCATCCACGATCCCACTCGTGAGATTCAAACCCAGGCGCTATCAGTCTCGCGCTTGGTCTAGTTTCAACTGACTCATGATCTGAACTACTAAAATTACTGTAATATCCACAAAAACCCTTCTGATATTAATCTACATATGCTCACTAGTGACGGTTTCCAAGAGATGTTTCCTGGAGTTCTAGTGAGAAGGAGTGACCAGTGGAGTTCAACCACGTCTGTTGTGAGACAGTAAATCACTAAAGACAATGGTGGATGTGTCGCTCAATTTTGTGGATTAACTGAAGTTAGATATTAACACCGTTGAATGCCGGCTGAGCGGTCTAGGGTTAAGCGCTCGAGTGCAAGACTGATAGGTCCTGTGTTCGAATCTCATAAGGCGGGATCGTAGATGACCACTGCTGAGAAGTTCCATGCTAGGACGAAACGGCCATTCAGTTCTTCCAGGTTTTCCATGGTGGTCTAACTTCAAATGACTCATGATCTCAACTATTAAAATATCACATTAATTACTTTAAAACATATTCTATGAATTAAAGCGGTTACCATGACATAGATTATATCTGTTTGGATGTCAGTGACATACTAATGGTAATCAGAAGTTCAATTGAATAAACCATAAATTTGAAGCAAACTAGATTAAAACACTCCCAGTGAAAAAGTTATCAGAGTTGAGAATAAGTTAGAATATACCAAGTGTTATAAGAAGAATCTGTTTGAAAAATATAAAGTATACTACTTTCGGTAAACTGTAAACAGAAACTACTTTTTCCAAGTACTTACAGAACAATTATAGTATTACGAAATTCCATTTTAATATTACATTTTGATTCTAATAAAACTAATTTTATAACTTAATGCTTACGTAATATATTTTTTCTATTTGTTACGTACATTATCAACATAAATTTGGCAAACTAATAAATTAGGATAAAAGCGAAATCTCTGTCTTGCAAAACATTGTTACTTTAAGTAAGTTTTAACAAGATGAAATTTTTAGTAACTTCAATGAAAATCAATGGGAAACAATGAAATACAGTTTATTCATCAACTTTATATACATTTATGAACTTAGTTACGTTAATAAAGTGCTGAATAAAATAACTCGAATACGAGAGTTTTAGTAATATATCTTTCATACATCCGTCAATACATTCAATGAGATTTGAATTGGAGAATCCCAAACGTAGCTACTCAGTGAATAATGGGTAACTCAGTCATGTTTGTGGGATAAATAGTATACTATCCCTTTCCCTTTCTCCTGGTGATCGACTGGATTATAAACACGCCAACATCTGATGGGAAACATGGGATACAGTGGACAGCTAGGATGCAGTTGGACGATCTAGACGTCTCAGATGATCTGACCCTCCTATCGCAATCGCAACAACACATGAAGAAGACGAACAGTGTAGCAGCAGTAGGTCTCAATATACACAAAAAAACTAGATTCTCCGACACAACACAGAATGCAACAATCGAATCACACTTGACGGAGAAGATTTGGAAGATGTAAAATCCTTTACATATCTGGGCAGCATCATTGATGAGCACAGTGGATCTGATGTGGATGTGAAAGAGCGGATCGGTAAAGCAAGAGCAGCATATTTACAACTGAAGAACATCTGGAACTCAAAGCAACTGTCAACTAACACCAAGGTCAGAATTTTCAATACAAATGTCAAGACAGTTCTACTGTATGGGGCAGAAACCTGGAGAACTACGAAAGCCATCATCCAGAAGAAACAGGTGTTTATTAACAGTTGTCTACGCAAAATACTTCAGATCCATTGGCCAGACACTATCAGCAACAACCTACAATGGGAGAGAACAAAGCAGATCCCAGTGAAGGAAGAAATCAGGAAGAAGCGCTGGAAGTGGATAGGACACACATTGAAGAAAGTACCCAACTGCGTCACAAGGCAAGCCCTCACATGGAATCCTGAAGGCCAAAGACCACATTACGTCGAGAAATGGAGACGGAAATGGGAAAAATGAACAACAATTGGAAAGAACTAGTAAGGAAATCTTAGGACAGAGTGGGTTGGAGAATACTGGCCGGCGTCTAGTGCTCCATTGGGAGTAACAGGCGTAAGTAATCAAATAGTACACTATCTGAAAATAAACAGTAACATGATAGAGATGACAGACACATATAAATCAAGTACATGTACAAAAACTTACATGATTATTACTTGTAAGGTCAAGGAAAATGGAGATAAATAAGATGATGCAAATACTTGACAAAGTTAGAATGACACGTTAAAAGGACAGAGTTGTTTAGACAAAAATAGACTGATTTGAAGTATAACACTTTGATAGAGCAATTAGAAGACAGAGTTGATCTTGAAAATGTGATACAAGTCTTATGAAACTCAAGTTTTATTTTTTTTCAGATGCGATTTCGCATTTCAGATTAATAAGTTCATCTAACCGTTTAATGCAAGACGAAGGGGGTTTTATTTTCAAGCAATTAATCGCTTTTATAACTTTCGATCGAGCAATACACATACCATGAGGTGATGATAACTTACACTATCGCTTCACGTGATAGCAATTTTATTCTTTAGTAACGGTATAAAGAACGTAATTTGTTTTATATAATCCATCACTACATTAGACTATTTCATATAGACAATTAGACAGTAGTAATACCTTGCTTGGTATTGACTTGCTTCTTATAATTGACACATACAGCGATTGTTGAAGTGGATTGCAGTTAACATTTTTATATTACTAATTTTAAAACTTCAAAAACTGTTTGTTGATGAATATCTGTTTTATTGTGTTGCTAAGGCTCTTATGAAAAAAAAAACATCTTGAATTCATTGCTTCCCAACAAAAAAGAAACAAACAAGAACTATAATGTTTGGCCAAGTTTATGGTGAATTTATTGAGCTACAATCCAATCAACCATACTTATTCAGTTGTATTTATCTAAAGAGAAAGCAATGAAATACAAATCAATATGTTTTTTTATGTTTTAGAAACTTTGTATTTTCATTTTCCTCTTCAAAGTTTAAAATAGACCAATACATGAAATTTACGAAAATTTGTTTATATTTTCATGTTATTTATTTCAAACATTATTAAGTGAAATAAAAATAGAAAATTGTTGAGTCGGCTTCCGAGAACTACAACGGAACCTCCAGAGATCCTAAAGGAGCCGAAGAGTTTCCATCCGATCAGAACATGGTGGAGCTTTCTAGAATATCAACGTGGCATGCTACAATTGAACAGTACCATAATATGTTTCTTTGCAGATTGGCCGAATTATAATGTTGATTTAACAAATGCTAATATGTATTAATATCCGTGATTTTCCGTACATTTCGATTCTTACCAAATAAACAGCTTTTCTGTCTTCTGATTTGAGACGCTGACGTTCGAACGTTCGAGTGTTGTAGTCGTAAACCGTATTCTGCGTCAATCAAGTAGCGAACTTAACAAAAATATATATTCAAGTTATAATGGCAAATTAATTTGAAAAGTGAATAGTCATGAAGACTATCAACATCTTAACTAATAAGCAGAGATGAATGGTGGCTAGCAGTGAAATCCATAACGCTCATCCCATCCTATTTGGGACTCATCAGCTGGATGTACCTGCACCTGTGTTGATATTCACTCTGGGACTCGAACCCAGTACCATTCGCTTCAAACGCCATCGCGCTAATCACATAGCTACTGAGTCCTGATAACCACCTGCTTGTGCAATAGGGTGAAGTTTAAATTCACTTAGTACTGTTTACTTGCATCTTCCCATTGATGTTTAGGTCTGAAACTGGTCAGTCTCTTAACTTAGTTAATTGTTTAAAACGTGGTTAGTAATTTAATAAGAAGGGTTTTTTTCATGTTTTAAAGATTATAGTTCTTGGTAAGCTTTTCAAATTGTTAAACATTTGTTCAATAAATTGTTATTGTAGACATACAGTTCTTACTATTAAAGTGTAATTGAAAATTTTTATTTTATTATATGAATAAAGAATATTATTTTTGATAAACATTTTCATCAGTTTCTATTATTATTATTATTATTATTATTATTATTATTGGTAGTAGTAGTATTAGTAGCATTAGTAGTAGTAGTAGTAGTAGTAGTGGTAGTAGTAGTGGTAGTAGTAGTAGTAGTGGTAGTAATAGTAGTAGTAGTAGTAATGCTATTATTAGCTTTATTCAATATTCGACTTTTGGTACGATATAGAATTCTCAGCACAAAGTATTTAAGCGAGTTTCCATTTCTTATTTCTTGATCAAAATTGACGATAAATATTGAGTGATTGCCAGTTAGATATTAGTATTACAGAAGTCGAAATCTGAATAATATTCATTCTTTTCAATGCATATTCCTTGCCAACATGATACCTCCGATTGTAAATGTTTGTAAGTTGTGCAGCGAAATGTGAAATTTTCACAAACGCACTTGAATAGGTTATACAATTAACTGATATAATGATCTGTTAAAACAAGCAAGGAAACATATAACTTGTTGAAATATCTAAATGACAGGAACAGGTAGTCCAGATATTCAAGCAGGTCACCCGGGTATCTACAATTATAAATCCAAATCCAAGAGCAAAAAAAAACATAAAGCTTACTTAATTGGCTATTATTTGTAAATTATTAATACATTCACTCGTTAAAATAAATACTTATCATAGTAAGAATGTTTGAACTTAGCTGCCAACACATATCAAAATCACTACAGAACTGTGATAATTAAAAGTATTTGAATTATAGCATGAAGTAAGAATCCCAGAAATAACGTAATCAGATCAAGTACGAACGAATGTACTGTATTTGGAATTCGAAATCAAGCATTCGAATAGTACAAAGGAATCATTAGTTCATTCAAATATCATAAGAACCTATATTCATATTTCAAATAATCTTATTACTATGAACATATATTATTATTATTATTATTATTATTAAAAACTATATGAATAGTGGAACTAACCAATATGTTAATCATCCAATTCACAGTTTCACAAGATTATTAGTTTACTATGTAGAATATAATCACATTATCATGATTTTCAACTTTAAGACTTTATTGAATTCCATGATACCAGTTTAAAATAATAATAATTAACCCTATAGAAATGATAAAATGTATTATGTTATAATTAATGTATAATCATCATAATAATGAGTATTTTACAATTTTCTAATGTGATATAATTGAATTTAGTTTCTTTTTTCTTTTTTCTATGCATATAACAAAATAAATAAATATCCAAGTTAAAAATAATGAATTGATTACCTTCTTCTTAAAATGATATTACATTAAAGAAAAAATTTTATTGATCAATTAAAAGATAATATTCAATATACTATTCATTACCTTATTTACTATTTCAACGATATAAATTGATATGGAGAGGGAGGGGGAAAAAGAGGGGAGGGGGAGAGGAAGAAGGTAAACATTGATTTAAATTTTTATTTTGTTACTAGTTAACTTATTATAATAACATTGAACAAAATATATATTTCCGTTTTATTTTGAAAATTTTAATATAAACTGAATAAAAATAGAATTTATATGTATATACAATAGAAATAGATGAGTGTTTTTGTTAGTTTTGTTCTATTTTGAAGATTAATCTATAATATGCTTTATATGTGACTATAATAACTTCTTAGAAAACTACATAAAACACAAAAAAAATTATCTTTATTTCACTGTTACTAACGAAAAATGTCTCATGAAATACTTCAATAGATTCTTTAAGATGAATACAGAGTTATGTCTATTGTTTTTTTTTTACATTTAATCTTAGATTTTAATAGGAAAAATAGTGAAACATAACTATTTTTTTTCTAAAGATTGAAAGGTAGGACCTATTTGATATCTAACAATAAATAGCTATATACTTATAATAATTGGTTGTAAAATAACATTTTCATTTTAAATCGATAGTAAAATAAACTTTGTTTAGTGGATGATCTATGTAATAAATCTATACCTGTCAATTCGAAATGTATACCAGTGTTATGAGATAAGCATAAAGTAATTTTGAACCGGTTAAGTTTAGATTACAAAATTACGTACATAACTGTGTTACGTTAACCGTAACAGGCGACATAAAACATGTTACACTGTGAATGATTGTAAATGAATGTTTATTGAGTAGTAGAAACATTCATCTAATGACATCAAGTGAAAAATTAGTTTCAGGCAGTTCAACTTATGCTTGTCCATCTAGTGGTAAAGAAAGCTTTTATATCGTGTTTCTTAGTTCGATAAAACCAATGATCATTAACTGTATTGTATGGCTTTATTTTGCATCGATTGTATATTTCATATTTAATTTTTAATCTAAAAGGTATCAAGGTATTTTCGGAGTTGATGTAAAAAGATTTTTTAAAAGTTCTTTTAATACTATGACTGCTAAAGATGACGAAACATTAAAAAATAGTCACATTTTTAATTATCAATGTTTTAAATGACACTTTTCCTACTCCTTCTTTACAATTGAACTCATGCCATTATACCTGAATAATCACTATTAGTCATAAATTAAACAAGAGATAACCAACCAATATGTAATTTAAACTCTTCAACTTTCTTTATATGGGTTTTCTAAACCTCAAGATGCTACTACACATATTTCAATGTAAATACATCACAAAGCGTCAAGACAAAAACTGCCTATCTGTCTACGAGAACACGTGATTAATCTTACGGATGATGATCAATGATGAAATATCAAAGGTGAAATGGAATTAAATATCACTTGATCATTAATAATTTAGGTGGAGTTTTATTCTCTGGGCATGATGCTTTGTAATTACTTCCTTGAATTAGTGAGGAACAAAGCATTTACTTTCACTGGAAAAAGTACACTCATTAAGTCATTTGGCGACCTAAATGTTGATTGGACGCTTCTTTTTATGTATAAATCGTACTACTTAATAATGGTAAGTAGTTCAACATCTACTCACATATTTCAAAGCCTTGTTTGTCATAACAAGCCACTTACATTAGCTTAAACTGATAACTTACACGATCGATTGCATTTACCAAGCTGATATTTTGCGTGTAATAGAATTCGTTCTTCACTTCGTCATTCGGTTTTTCTACTTACTAATGTCCTGTTATTCTTGCTCGTATTCCGGATGCAACCCTTAATTAATATTTGTCAATCTCGAATATTTTAGCTTGATATATTCTGACTTTCAGTTACAGATGTGATTTTGCGATTATAATATGCCAGATACATTTCGCTTTCTGGTAGGGGGTCAAAATTTTAGTTGATTTATGGGTATCTCATCATTCGGAGTTTGACATTTTCTGGCATCCGTTATGTATTTCATCACGCCGTCGCATTTGTACACAGTTCTTATAGTTTAGTTTAGACAGTTTACAGTAGCATCAATATTTAGTTGAAGACAATATTCGTGTCTTGTGATTAAAGTTCAACAATGAGCAATCAAGATCAAAGTCTATAGGACAAGCTGTATGTCATATGCGAAGAAATTCGAACACTTCACTTCTAACTGAAGTTTCTCTTGATGATGTGGTTCAGAAGAACAATGAGAGCTCCACGGCCAAACCATCGAACTCAGAGAAAAAAACTCCAAATAAACTAAATTTAAATACTAGACTACTTTAGACTATTGGTTCTTAAGACTAAGGTTACAAGACACTGAAACAAATGTTTATCAGTCAGTCAAACTTTAAAACAAACTGGGAACTACATAGACTATAACTTAGCTGACTAAAGCCCTAATGTACCACATTTCGTAAAATCATTGTTAAAAACATTAAATGAGTAGAATGTAAGGTAATCATTGACAAATATTTAAATTAGAATCATCCATTGAGACGCAAGACATTGAAAAAAAAATTCAGACAGTAAGAAATAAGAGATTAATAAATTTCTATTTTCCTTTATGTAATGAACAGAATCATTGGAAAATAAACAGAATATGTAAACAAAAAGGTCAATCTTACTTTACTATTATCAGATATTTGAAGATAAAATCTACCAAGCTCCATTTTTATTTATTACTCATAGCCGCGGATACCGTTTATTATCGTTGCGAAATCCAGATTTATTAGTTTAACTAATTACTTCTTTGAATAATGTATGATAGCTGACTGGAGACTAAAACGAATCATGCTTATTAAATCAATTAGGATATTATACATAACATACAAATGTTCTTTTCTAATGCCATGTTCGGCATGCCAATGTAACGTATGAAACATTTATGATTAGAATATCTGACTACTTGAACTTCTTACAAACTAGCATTTATTTTTTTCTGACAGAATATTTTCTTTTGAATCGATATATTTTGAAGTATTTAACTTGATTATTCACACTACTAACTAGTAGGCAGTATCTCTAAAAATAGATTCTTATCTCAATCCCAAAATTTTGAAATATTAACAGCCTAGAGTCAATTCTGAGTCCTTATTGGTTCTTCTTGCCTAGACTTGTCTGTTTGAGTCCAGAATACAATCTCAGCTTCCATTGTATGAATCATGTATTTTGGATATACTCAGTTTATATACAAGTAAATTAGATCGCATCATACTATAAAACAGAAAATGATAATTATACAAGACCAAGCAAAAAGTAGCTGAGAGTGTAAGAGATTGTGTAATAGATTGGTAATAACTATATACTAACGAATCGTATAGCAGTCGTTAATATGTCAAATGGAAGCTTATAGCAGAAGGAATATGAATATACATATAATACAGTTACTTAATAGTTATATATATATATATGATTTTAACTGTTGAAATTACTAAAATCTCCACAAAACCCCTTCTAATAATATTCATTTAGTTTTGTTAGTTTAAAAGCGCTTCCGAATATAGGTTAATCTGTTAGTATACAAATTTAACGGTGAACAAAAGAAAACTGACAAACTTATATATTCTGTGACAAATCAAGATATCAAGACATCACTTAATACTGACTGTCAAGCCATTCATTGGATTAGTGTAACGCCTAATTTCATATAACTGTACAAGACTTTCATATATCAGAACAAGAACACTGCGTACAAGCATATAATGTTTGTGTTGTCAAGAAATTTTTGAAGTAACTGTTAAATCAGGTGGATACATTTATCAGTTTCAATTTTATTAATGGTGGAGGTTTATTCTATCAGTAGTTCAAAATGAAGTGAAATAGTCAAGATGTCAGACGTGAGAACCAATAGAGATGACATAGCTTCATATCACTATCTGGTGGTTTCCAAGATAAAACTGAAGCTCAAAAAGCACTGGACTACTAGAGAAACAACATTACAAATGTTCAATACAACCTTCCTTTAACATACTGACAAACTAAATAAATTCTAGATAGCTGTCAATAACAGGTCCCAAGCTTTACAAGATCTCACATAAGAAGAAATTAATATGGAAGACAGATGGAAAAGGGTCAAAGAAGCACTAAGTTCAATGTGCCAGGATGTTCTGCGCCGTAATAAGCAGCATCATATGGAATAGACCTCTGTCGAAACCCCGGAATGGATTCAAGAAAGGAAGAACAAGAAGACAGTAATTGGTAACAGTCGAGTAAGAACAGAAAAAGTTAAGGCACAAGCTGAATAGTGTAGTGGCTTAGCTTCGTTAATCAATCACCTTGAAAACCGTTGTTATATAAATCCCAACGGTGTTTGAAATCAGAAAGTAATTAAAAGTGACAACTACAGTTTATTAGCGAATAGCACAGATAACAAAGCTACAATCACATCGAGCGAATTCAAATCAGAGAGGCAAATGTACGTATGAGAGCGAATACAGGGGCAAACTTATAGTCAAATCCAATCAAGACGCAGCAAAGGACCGAAAAAGCTATTAATACGATTTGAATCCATATATACATCGAAAAGAGAGTGAATCATCGAGCGATATTTAAGCGATTAACATTTCAGCTAGTGAGAGATATGCGCGTAGGCTGTCATGGGATCAAGAGTACATGTTTATACATGCAAGATAGTGATCATAATAGTACAAAGAAATATGCGGTTTGTTACTGTTCGAATAACATTGCTGAATAAGTTAATAAAAGGGCTTAACAAATTTAACCATAATCGAAATTGATTGTAGGAGAGTTGCTATAAAACAC